CGACCAATGTTTGGCACTTTTTTAAATTTCCGCCATGTCGTGACATATTCGACTTGCCGATCTGTCCTATGCGATTAGGGATCCTAATTTATTCTCCCAGAGCTGGATGATTGGCAATCGCTCATGTCGATTTACGCGTCGCCGTACGACGCGTCAGACGATGGCGGCATGCCGGACGAGCTTCCCCGAACCATCAGCCTCGAGCGGTCCTTCGCTGCCCTTTATGGCTTGCAGAACAGCCAGCAGCAGCAGCAACAGCAGCAGCAGAGGAAGTATCGCGGATGGACTAAGATGGGTTCATTCTTCGGTTCGTCCAATTCCAACGCAGCTGCTGAAGCCTCCCGCCGGGCCTCCGCTGCGGGTTCGTCAGCGGAGGATCGGAAAGCAAATGCGGCCCCGTCCCTGCTACGAACAGTATCGCTACCCAGTCGCGCCGCTGCGCTGAAAGCACAGCGGCAGCAGCAGCAGCAGCAGCAGCAGCAGCAGCAGCAGCAGCAGCAGCAGCGGGAGGTGCAGCAGCAGCAGCGGGAGGTGCCAAGGACGGGGCGATCGGCGGAGGAGGAGGAGAGAGAGAGGCAGCGGCAGATCGAAATGTTCGGCACCGTTCTTGCTGATGACGTGCCCCTCCCCCCGCCGGTACGCACCATTCCCGATCACTCATCCCCCTCCAGTACGCACCATCACTCATCACCCGTCGAGCCTCCTTTGGGTTGCGGCGCGTGTGTGCGAGATCCGACCGACGATCGCGCGCGCTGCCTGGGAGCACCGTTGCTTCAACGCCCCTCCTCGCTCGCCTAACCCCGCCACCTTTGCTCTCTCTGCCCACCTTCCCCTCTTCCGTGCCTCCTCCCCTCACCCCCCGCCTACCCAAGCAGGGATATGATTACGGCGCCGACCTCTCCCCCGACCACCCTTCGTTCCCTTGCCCAGCCGCAGCAGCGCCGCCGTCGCCGCCTGAAGCGGCGGTGGGTCAGTCGTACGGGGGGCGACCGGGCGCGGATTACGAGGACGGCAGTAGCGACGGGGAAGGCGACCGCTCTGGGATAATTGGAGCAGCCGCAGGGGGAGGGGGAGGGGGGAGGCGGGTGAGGGCGGAGTATTGCCCGCGGGCAGTGCGTGAGTTTAGGCGCACGACGTCGTCCCCCGTGCCCAAGTGCCCGCCTGCTTCCGCGCCCGTGGGCGCGGCGGGCGCAAGAGACCGGCGCCTGGCGGGGGACTGTGTGGGAGCGACCTTCAACGGGCCCTTCAGCAGCGGCGAGGCCGCCGGGGGCGGAGCGAGCATGGGCGGCGGCGGCACTGCGGGTGGCGGCAGGGCGGACGACGAAGTGCGCGTTGGCGGTGGGGGCGCTGGGATCGGCGGGGGCGCTGCGCCTGCTGGTCGCGCCACGAGCGGAACCGCAGGGGCCATGGGGACTCCGTCCCGCGCGTCTGGGCCGTTTGTTGCGCCTCCTGCCGCCAGCAGCAAGCCGCCCGTGAGAGGCGGGTTTGGGCGCAGCACGAGTGTCACACAGACGCAGGGGAATGCGGCGGAGGCCGCCGCTCCTTCGGGCGTGGCTGGAAGCGGCGGGGGTGGTGCGGGGGGAGGGCGCAGGGGGTTCCGGCGCGCCATGTCGATGGAGCTGCGGCCGCGCGCGAGAGCCAACAGGGCGCCGCTCGCCCTTAACCCGCTCGACGCCTCCCCGCCAGCAAGCAGCGCTGCCAGCGCATTCCCCCGGCCGCCCGTCCCATGGGCAGCAGCGGACGATCCTTGCTCCCCCTCTGCCCCCCTCCCTCCCCCCCAAAAGCAGCCGCCCCCGTCCCTCCCCGCGTCGTCCTCCCCCTTCGGCCGTCCTCCCCCCAGCAGCAACCACAGCGCCCGCGGGTGGGCGGCGTGGACGCAGGCAGATGAAGCCTCCCCCAGAGCCGCCTTCGCGCCGCCCTTCTTGCGCTCCTCGTCCCTCGGAGGCCCCTCCCCCTCCGCCCTGCGCAACCGAGAGCTGCCCCCGCCCGCCCCCCCCTACAGCGCGCACCCGAACCCACATGCAGGGATAGGCGCGTGGGCAGGAGCAGGCGGAGGGGGAATGGGCGCAGCGGCGGGCGGAGGGTATGGGTGGGCATCCCTGGGGTCGCAGCGGTCGTTAAGTCCCGAACGCGCGGAGTCCAGCCAGGTGAGCCGCGCAGGGCGCGGGGGGGGGGTGCGGCGGGTGGGCAGGCGGGGAGGTTCAATGCGCGAGAGAGGTGCAGACAGGACAAGCGCGAGGGAGAGGCATGGCAGCGGGGCGAGTTGCCCTCATGGCATGCCCATGCACTCGTACCTCCTCATGAATCTCTTTCGTTTGCCCCCTCTCAACCCTCCCTTATGCTCCTCCCCTTTCCCCCCGCCCTGCCCCTTACGGCAGGGGCCGCTGGGTCTGGTGCAGGAGAGCAGCGAGGAGGGCGAAGAGCCGCGCGTGGGGGGAGGCGTGGGGGAGAGACTGGGCGCAGGGGGAAGGGGCTCCAGGGAGCGGAGTGGAGAGAGGTATGGGGGAGCGAGGAGGATGGGTGGGCGGGCGAGGGAAGGCAGGGCGAGAGGGCGAGATGAGGAGAGTGAGAGCGAGAGTGAGAGTGAGAGTGGAAGAGGGAGCGAGAGTGGGAGTGGGAGAGAGAGGGGCAGTGGGAGTGGGTCGGGAAGCGAGAGTGAAGAGGACAGAGGGGGGCGGAGAGCCCAGCAGCAGCGACCACGTGTGGGCGGCGGGGCACGGGCGCTTGGGGAGGGGCGGGGTGTAGTGGGGGGGAGGGGGAGGTGGGAGGGGCGGGGGAGGGTTCTGCAGGGCGTAGTGGGCAGGGGGAGCGTGGGCAGGGATGGACTAGCACGGGGGGTTGGGGGAGCGATGGGGGCAGCAGGGGGGCCGGCGTGGGAGGGGGGGGACGAGGAGGCGGGGGAGGAGAGTCCTCGCGAGGCGACTGTGCGGTGTGTGGCGCCGTCCATGCACTCGCTGCTGCGCCTCGCCTCCCACTCGCGCCACCGCAGCCTCGACGCCTCCCCCTCCTCCGCCTCCCCCTCCGGCTCCCCCGTGCCCCTCGCCCGCCCCGTTTCCCGCCCCGCCCCCCCTGCCTGCGCCCGCAGCCCTGCCCGCCTGGGCGCCTGGGGAGCAGGGGGGGGGGCAGGGCGCGTGGGGGGGTCGCCTGGGAGAGAGGGGAGTGGCGGAGGGGGCGAGGAGGAGGAGAGCGTGATGCTGCTGCGGGCGAGCACTTTGCATGAGAGCAGCACTAGTAGCAGCAGGCGTGGTGGCAGCAGCAGTGCTTGGCATGAGGAGAGGCAGGCAGAGGCAGGGGGACAGGGCAGTGGGGCAGGCGTGGGGGGTGCGGTGCAGGTGGGTGGGAGGGAGGCGAGGAGGGGGTTGGTAAGGTCGGCCAGTGGGGTGGAGGCGAGGCACTGCCGCAACCGCAGTGCGGGCGGCGGCATGAGCATCGGCGCCACAGGCAGCGTTGGCGTCGCTGCCTCTTCCGCCATGGGGCCCTTTGAGAACTCGTTTCTTCCCAGAGCACCGGCAATAGCACCTCCACCTGCAGCAGGGCAGGCCCGAGTGGATCCTCTCAACCCTCGAAGGGGTCTGGTTCGGTCGGCCAGTGGAGTGGAGGCGAGGCACCGGCGGGAGAGGAGTGGAGGAGGTAGCAGCAGCGGCAGTGGGGGGGGTGCAGGCATGGGGTGGTTGGCGGGCGGCATGGGGGCAGGAGAGCAGGTGAGCTTGGGGGAGGAGGGGCAAAGTGAGGCGAGAAGGGCGTTCACGCGATCGAGCAGCGGCGTGGAGGCGCGGCACAGGAGGCAGCGCAGCAGCGGTGCTGGCGGCACGGGCGGTGCGGGCGGCATTCTCGGCTCGCTGCTGCTGCGCCCGGTTGCAGCAGATGGAGGCACGGCGGGCGACAGGGACGGTGGTGGTGAGGGCAAGGCGAGCAGCAAGGGGGGGGGCTTTGGGTTGGTGCGCATGGCTACGATGGAGAGGCGGCGCGGCAAAGGCCGCAGCAACTCCGTGGTGGATGACAGACTGGCCGTCAGCCCCTTCCAGGACCTCTCCTGGGATTAGTGTTCCATGTGTGGACTGCTCTGGGGTTGCAGTATTTATGTCACCAGGTAGAAACAAGGATATTTGCGATGTGGTGATTAGGGTGCATTCCTGTGGGGACACAAATGTCTCAATCTCTTTGTGACACACAAAACAGCATAAACTGTAGTGTGTCCCAATTGCGAGTCGCCTTTCCGCGACCATAATTGTATTTTTTATTGGTCAGCGTGAAACGCGCTGACGTCGCTGACGAATTGTGATCCGACTCGTCAATGTGAAAAATTCGCACGCGGCTCGAAATGTCAATGCACCTGGACAGCCATGCAGTGCCAATTTCGTGCGGGAAAAAATCCCGCGCGTCGAAACCACACCCCAGCCAAGCGGTTGAAGAAAGGAATGTACAGTCATTTGTGTCACCCAATCAAATGCGCACAACTGTACATTTCGCCGGGTCGCCTAGACTCGCGATACATTGGTTGTTTGTGACACAACATTTGGCAAATTTACAGACGCGACTCGGGAAAACGGGGATTGAGACACAAGTGTCCCCGCAGGAATGCACCCTTAGGGGCTGTGGACCCTTGCCCACGTTTGGCTCTGGGAAGTTCAGAAGCTTTGATCTGGACCCCATTTATGTTTTGCTGATGATGGGGAGCGTGGGATCACAGCATTTATTCAGGCAATTACTGTGCTTACTTACCCCAGCCCCGACTCTTGACTAACCATGAACCATGGAAGAAAAATGGCGAGGTGGTGTTTGTGGTGCCAGGATTGCCTCAGTGCATGTTGAGACACGCATCCTCTTCATGTCTCAGAGTCAGGATTTAGGTTGCCTGAACTTGTTGTGGTTCTGCGACTGTATTATGCAGGACAATCTTCTTCACTTATAAATGCGACAAATCCGTTGATGCATACCAAAATTCTGGCCAAAAAACCTATCAAAAATGTATCCATCCAGAATGGGTTACAGCGTCATGTTTACGTAAGGGTGGTCTGGATGAGGAGACGAGCAATCACGTAGGGATCAGCGTTGGCAGCAGGACGCCTGTCCTCGAGGTAGCCCTTCCCTTCCAGGGCAACACCCAGAGGAATACGAATAGAGGAACCGCGGTCAGCAACACCAGACCTGCAAAGCAGGATAACATTGCAGACGTTAGTAGACAACTCTAAAACTCGGCAGAAGTTAAAACGCAACAGAAAGACACTCACCTGAAAGTGTTGATGTTGGCAGTCTCGTGCTTTCCGGTCAGCCTCTTCTCGTTGCCAATGCCGTAGTTAGAGATGTGCTCATAATGCCTCTTCGACAGCTTCTCAACAGCTTCCTCAATAGCCTGATCAGTTTCAAAATGTGAAGTGTCAAGATTCTTTCCAGATGAACTCAGCCACATCCCTGCTTGACCAGTACTGACCTTCATGCCACCTTCCTCGCGCATGGCCTTGGTAGAGTAGTTGGTGTGTGCGCCAGTGCCGTTCCAGTCTCCTTGCATGGGCTTGGGGTCGAGTGTTACGACAATGCCGAAGTCCTCACCAAGCCTGGAAGTTATGTAAACTCAGTAAGTCTCGCGACGGTTCAGAGGAGCTAACGACTAGCATACGACTGAGCACACCTGTTCAGGAGCCACCGGGCAACCATGACGTGGTCGCCGACCTCGAGAGGACCAGCAGGACCAATCTGGAACTCCCACTGTCCGGGCATAACCTCGGCGTTGATACCGCTGATCTTCAGACCGGACTGAAACGCATGACCAGGGGTTTTACAGCAACTTGAGCAACAGTGGTGGATGTTTGACAGCGACAGGAATAAAAGCTAGAGCGTTTTGGTACCTTAATGCACGCATCCATGTGTGCCTCAGCCAGAGGACGACCGTAGACAGCCTCCAGACCAACACCGCAGTAGAAGGGACCCTGGAATGAAAGTAAGCAGGCACGAGGTCAGAACCGCCGTACTGTAAGGGGCTCTAGCGGGTAATGCAAGCAAAATAAGCAACATTACCTGAGGGTCGGGGTAGCCGATCTCGGGCCAGCCGTAGACACGACCGGTCCTGCCGAACATGGTATACTCCTGCTCGAAACCGAACCAGGTATCAGCGTCCAAGATCTCAGGGTTAAGAAGATCTTGGAGCTTGCGGCGAGTGTTGGTCGCGTGAGGGGTGCTGTCAGGGTTCAACACTTCGCAAAGGACAAGCACATCGTTGCCACCGCGGATGGGATCCGGGCAAGTGAACACAGGGCGAAGGATGCAGTCGGAGCTGTGGCCCTCGGCCTGACCAGTGCTGCATTGTGAAAAAAACACACATTGAGTTCCAGCTGAGGAATCAAATCTTAGGGCTGAAACGCGATAAACCACGCGGCTCGGTTGATGGCTCACCTAGAGCCATCGAAGGACCAATCGGGGAAGTTAAGAGATCCGATTTCACGAGGGTCCTGAAGCACCTTGGTCTTCGAGCGCATCTCATTGAACTTCAAGCCCTTAGTGCCTTCCAGGCCATCCATCCAGATGTACTCAGCTCGCTGTGCGATGGCTTGCACGGAAAAGCCACCAACCTGGGAACCAATAACAGCAGTCGTTAGTGCAGCTCCAAAACAATTATAAAGAGCAGGTTTAGTACTACGCTATAGGAGATTTGTTACCTTGCGGGACTGAACCCTAACGAAGGACCTGAGATTAGCCTTCAGCTCATTGTTGCCAGCAAGGGACCCGCAAACGGGAACCCCGACGATCTGCCAAGCACGATGAGATAATAGCTCAATTACGCCGTATGGATAACACAATTCGACCAGAGATGCGCTCCAGTATCTCTACCTGGGAAGAGAGCTTTGAGGCACGCTGGCCGCCAAGCTTGGCAGCAGCAGTAGAGGGCAGGGTAGCCCGGAAGGTGGCGGACGCCATAGCAGCAGCGTGCCCAGATCTCGTCTGAACAGGGAAGTGCAAATGAGAGTAGTAGAAAATGGGGAAAAAGAAATGGTCTTTCACCCAAGACCCACTGGCGAGCCAGGTTTGGCCTGGACAAGTAAAGGGGACCGTCGATATACCGTAACAGGTTCGGGAACGGCTGCGATTAAGAGCCGAAGTAATCGCAGAAATCATATGGGACTGATGTCCAATCGAAATGCACAGATGAGAACACTAAGTCGTTTCACGTGGATATCGCCAAACCAACGCAGCCTTAGGTTTGCTGCTAGTGGGCAAGAATGCCACGAAGGCATACACGTCGGATGGATGACGAGCCAATCCAGTCATGTGGCCCTTCCAAAGCCCGAACCTCAAAAGATACGTGAATCTCAGCGCAACCTAACCGTTCCAAATCCTTTTGTTCAAAACATTGGAAACATATCTTGTAACAGCTAATAAAAGGCTTATAGACTTCCAATATCATTCCTGGCAAGCAATGTCTCATACACTATTCATAAGTTTTATTATATTTTTTAATCTTTATATTTTTCGGGAAAAGTAACAAATTAAATATCAACCTAGGTCGAAGCTGGTTATCGAATATAACATTTTGGTTCTCAATTTGATTATTAACATATTCGGTAGACATGACCTGTTGCAAATCTAGGAATCACGGAACAAATAAATCACACGTTTTGGCTGGTAATATGCTGAGCTTGGCATATCTGCTTAGGAAAGTGTAGGAATGGGTAAGCATTTTCCTAAATGTATTTGTCTTTCCTTGTATTCCTTACACAATTGTGCTCTCAATACAGACGCAATGTCCCAGACTTGGCACACTAAACCAGCGCCACCAGCTGGCTCCGAGTTGCATTTGAAAATGTGCAATTTCCACCCTCCCGCACAGCTGCAATTGCCACTCTGCACTTCCCGCACCCAAGTTACCTGGCCATGGCGCTTCGGAAACTTCCCACGAGGACACCGCGGTCGCTCGCGGTGGACAGTTGGCGTATCGCTCAGCAGTTTCGCCGCATTTTCCTCACGATTCCACGGGCCCGCCACTGTGGCGCTGGCGTCTCCCTTCTGAGCCGTCGTTGCAGCTTCCGCCGTGCTGCAGCGCGTGGATGCCGTGTCGTGCGAGGTAGATGGAGCAGCGGCGAAGCAGCGCGTGAACGAATGGAGAGTCGAGGCTTGGTTCCCGTACTGCTGGCTGTGGCGTGCCACGGCGCTTGAGATTTGGCCCGGCTTTAGGGACGGTGGCGACTCACGTATGCCGCACTTTGTCGGTCCTGCCTCAACCACTCCCCGTCTCGATTAGCAGTCGTCTCAACAAGACGCGCGAGGAGGATCCACCCGTCGAAAAAAATCATCGTCGGAGAGACTAGGGCGATCGTGAGGTATACGACTGAGAGAATACTCGGCGAGTTGGAGTTACAGTGCAGCAGAGGCGGCGGTGCTGCCGACATGGACGTTCTTCTTATGGCTGCCGGCACTCTCGGCGACGTGCTGCCGTTCCTCGCGCTCGCCATGCACCTCGCCGTGCGATACGGCCACCGAGTCAGGTGAATGGGGGGGGGGAAAAGGGAGGGGGGGGGGGAGTGTTGAGCAGTGGGGTGATAGACAACCACATCGACACAGAGCAGGAGAAAATCCAAGGTTTTGGACGGGTGGTTATTAACTTAATCAAGACGCAGAAGATGAAAGTATGGCGCGGAGACGCTATCAGCATGGGTGCCTGCCCACAGGTGTGGGGGCTGAATAGGAAGATGCCGTGGTTCTCCTTGGCATGTTATTCCTGCCACCTGCGGTGCTGCCTTGTGCCGCCAATCACTGCACGTGCTTGAGCACAGAAACGCGGGGCGCAAGCGAGTGGTGGTTGGGCTCTTTCACGCTGCAGCCGGGGGAGCTCTCCCACCTGGCGTGCTGGTTGCGTGCTGGTTGCGTGTTTTCTTTGCGCGGCTGTCTTGTTGCGACTTCCCTGTCAGCTGTCATGAGCTATATCGTCATTATGGTTCAGCACGGTATAGTGCACCCTTTTCCTCCTCTGCTCACCTTGACTCGTGTTAGTGTTACATGTGTGTGTCTGATCTGATGTATGTGTGTGGCATGGGATGCATGGCGCGCGTGGGATGCATGGCACGCGTGGGATGCATGGCACGCGTGGGATGCATGGCGCGCGTGGGATGCATGGCGCGCGTGGGATGCATGGCAAGCAGGCTGGCAAGCCATGCGGACTACGGCCCTCTTGTGCTGCAGTGCATGGAGCGAATGGCGCATGGCGGCGAAGCAGGGGAGCGGCAGGGGCGAGCGGGAGATGGAGGCGAAGGGAAAATGAGAAGAGCCGAGGAGGGAGTTGAAGAGGAAGGGGAAAAAAGGGGGGATTTGGGTAGCAGCATAACGGACAAGGGATCTGAAGAGAGGATGGGGATGGAGAGCAGTGAGGGTGAGAGGGCGTGGGGGCGAGGCGAGATGGATTTCTACCCGCTTGCAGGCGACCCTACTGCCCTCAGCACGTGTGAGTGCCTGCTTGCCCTCTGCGGTGCTGACTGCTGTCTCCTCCTGACTGCCAGTTCGGGAGCATGCATCATTGCTGCTGGCGAATGATGCATCAGGCATTCAGCCTTACTGCCTTATTCCATGTGACGCACATTTGCCATGTGATTAAGGTCTCTGGGGTTGGGTCGGCTGCATGTCCTGGGAACGGTATTATTACGGCCTGGGGTCATATACAGTGCTTGTGTGTGTGGCTGGCACGCGTTTCACTTCTCGCCGCCTCCTTTCGCTGCCTGCTAAATAAACACACCCGATATCCCCTTCCATCCTCGTCCATCCCATGCGCATGCCATACATGTTCCCTCTCCATTCCGCATCTGCAAACACTCATCGCAACAACATCATGCTCGCTTGTCACGACGGCCAGTGATGGTGAGGAATGGCGGCGTGTTCCCCAGGAGCTTCTCGGAGCTGCGGCTGCTGCGCCAGCAGTACAGGGCCATCCTGGAGTCCACGTGGCCTGCCTGCACTGCTGCCTTCCCGCACTCTGCGGGGGCACTCAGCACCGGGGGCGGCTGTGACTCAGGGGGTGAAATGGGCGGAGAGGAGGGGCATGTGGATGGGGACGGTGCGACTGGGCATGGGAATGGGCATGGGGGTGGGCGGGGAAGAGGAGAAAGGCCATGCCAGTCGGCTGGGGAGGGAGGGGGGGCAGGAGCAAAAGGGGGCCGCAGCAGGAGGTTCAGGCCGCATGCCATCATCGCCAACCCGCCTGCTGCTGGTACTGCTGCACTTTCAAGCTACTAGAGTATGGCTCCTCGTTTGTGCCCCCCTTGCCCGTTTCTTCTCCTGCCGTTGCTTGTTACGGTTTGACTGTGCGCAAGCAGAGGATGGCATCCACTCGTCTCTTCCCCGCCGTCCCCTCCATACCTTCCCTTCCGCACTGATGCATTTCACTTTGACTTGCCGGTCGTTGTCCTAACCATGACCTGTCCACCAGGTCACATACACTGTGCGCAAAAGCTTGGGGCTCATCTCCACATCCTCTTCACCATGCCATGGCGGTATGTGCCACTTGTTCCTGCCATGCCATGTCATTCATATGATATCATATGATATCAAATCATATCATATCATATCATATCATATCATATCATATCATATCATATCACATGCGTCTATGGATATTTTCCTTACTCCTTGTCCAATCTTCGACATTCCTTTTTCTCAGACTCCATCCCCCTCCCTCTCCAAATCCTCTCTCCCCCCCCTCATCCCTACCACCCACCTCTCCTCCCTGCCAGCCCCACGGCAGCATACGCGCACCCGTTTTCCCCCTCGGCGCTGCGCTCGCTGGCGTACGTGTCGCCGGCGGTGCTGCGGGCGTGGGTGCACCGCGGGTCGTACAGGCTGGTGGAGGCCTTTGTGGGCGCGGGCGTCTTGGACATCACCAACCAGGTCAGCTCTGCACCACCATGGCGCCCGGGCGCTATGGGGGGGTGACGGATGTGGGGTGACGGGTGAGGGGTGGGGAGTGAGGAGCTAGGGGCAAGGAATAAGGGGTGAGGGGTGCCCCTCAAATCCCCTTGCTCTACCCCTTGCTCTCCGCATCAAATCCCTTCTTCTCGTCTTTTTCTCTGCTTGCCTTTTCCTCGCTTCCCTTCCCTCCCCACGTCGCCCCCCCCTCCCGCATTCCGTGTCTTTCGCGCTGTCTTGCCCTCCTCTGATGGCTTTCCTCTTCACACCCTCCCCGCTATCCCCCACGCTGCAGTTCCGCACGCGCACCCTACACCTAGACCCTCTCTTCCTCACGGACCGTCCCTTCTCCCACCTGCTGCGCCTGCCCATCCCCTTCTCCTTCTCCTGGAGCCCTCTCCTCGCGCCCAAGCCAAGGTACTGTGCCACTCACCCCCTGCTACACTGCCGCTGGGTGTTCATGTGCCTGTGCTGCTCATGTGCCTGTGCTGCGCCCTCACTTTCCTTCAACTCTCTGTGTCTGCTTTTGTCGTACTCCATGCGTTCGTGCATTAAATGTGCGTCTGCGGGCATGCGTGCGGGTGTGTGCGTATATGGCCGGGTGGGGGAGTGCACGTGCGTGTGTGCTCTGGTATATCTTTGCATGGCAGTGACTGGAACGACCTGGTTGACGTGGTGGGCTTCATTCACCCCCCACTGCATCATGCACCCAGCGCTAGAGAAGCCAGTGCCGTGCCGCCACCAACACCACCATCCTCGTCCCCATCTGAAGCACGGACTCTTGAGTCGGCACCCCTGCCTGAATCACCTACACTACCTGCATCAGAGGAGGAGGCAGCAAGACCTGCAGCAGCAGCAGCAGTAGCAGCAGCAGGAGGCGAAGCAGGCGAGAAAGAGGAACAAGGGGAATGCAAACCAGCACCGCCAAGCGATCCACTCCCGCCGTCTCCGCCCTCCTTCCACCCTCCGCCCGCCCTCGTGTCCTTCCTCGCCGAGGGTCCCGCACCTCTCTTCGTGGCGTATGGCAGCATGCAGCTGAGCAAACCATGCTACGTGGCCCGCTGTGTGCTCAAGGCTGTGGGCCTGCTGGGCGTGCGAGCCATCATTGGCAGCGCTGCCATTCGCCAGCACCGCTGCTGCTCCTCCTCCCACTGCCTCGCGGCTGGAGGGCGCACCCGCAGGGGGGGAAAGGGACGTGCAGGTGTGGGCGGGAGGGTTGAGGAAGGGGGAGGGAAGCGTGAGGGGAAAGGCCGTCAAGGCAAGCATGCGGAGAGGAATGTGGCAGGGAGGGAAGCAGGAGGGAGTGTGGAGGGCGGAGGTACTCAGGGGGGAGCAGAGGAAGGGGGTGGGGGTGGGGAGGGAGAAGGGGAGGGCGAATGTGAGGTGGTGCAGCAAGGGGGTGTGCTGTTTGTTGGGTCTGTGGCTCATGACTGGCTCTTTCCCCACTGCTCTGCCACGGTGAGGCAAACCACCCACAGCACTCTGTGGCACAAGTAGAGCTTAAATAGCCAGTCCCTCACACCCCTTGCGGCATACCCTTGTTCCTTTTTCTCTAGCTGTCTTGCATGAAGGGTTTCAACCCTTGTTTCCGTTGGGCGCACCTGTTTTTTTAGAATTCTCCAAAACAGATTCAGCCTTTCCATCGGGCGCAGCACATCTCTTCCTACTGCTGTCCGTCTCTCCCTTCTCCTCTGTCCTCTTGTTCTCCCGTGGCGATGCGCGCGTGGTGTGGTGTGGTGTGGTGTGGCATGGGCAGGTGCACCATGGGGGGGCGGGCACAGTGGCAGCATCTATCAGGGCGGGCTGCCCCATCCTGCCCATGCCATTCTTTGGAGACCAGCACTTCTGGTACCCCACTCCTGCACTCTACCACACGCCACTCTACCACACACCACTCTACCACACTCAGATGAGTCCGTTTTTTGAGTCGACGCAGAAGTCTTGCTCGTATTTCTATACACCGGTTCTGTCTACCACAAGGCACACAGCTCCTTATCATCACTCCATCCAATCCGTGGTCCTCTTGCATGCACGTGCACCTCTTCCCCCAATCTCCCCCCAGGGCTGCTGTGCTGCACAGCCTGGGCGTGGCCCCGCCTGCTCTGCCCATCCACCGCATCTCCCCTCGCCGCCTCCTCTCCTCGCTGCGCCTGCTGCTGCAGCCTGCTCTCAAGGCGCGTGCCATGCAGCTCAAGAACAGCTTCCTTCTCGAGTACGTGCCCCCTCTCCTCTCCAACACCGCGCCGCTGCCTGCTCTTTCAGCTGCCCTTTGCAATCCCCGCTTTCAGCGCCTGCCCTCCTTCCCCACGTATCTTTCCATGCAGCCACAACGGCGGCAGTGAATCAATTGCTCAGCTTCTGCTTGCTCTCTGTCTCCCAGCCCCCTCCTCACCCACTTAATTCGCTCCCCTCCCTCCCCCCCCCGCGCGTACGGCCCTCTCACGCTGCGCAGGGGCAATGGGCTGCTGCGTGCAGCTCACTCCTTCCACCTGCACCTGCCACCTCGCCTGCGTTGCCTGCTACACGAGGGGCCAGAGCAGGCGGACAGGATGCGTGGAGGCAGCAGAGCGTCAGATGTGTTAGGGCTGTGTGGCAATCCAGTGCCATGCGGAGGAGAGCGTGAGGGAGTTCACGACAGCTGTGTAGGTAGCTCTCAGCAGCAGGACAGGCAAGAGGTTGCTGGGCAGGAGATGGAGGAGAAGATGAGGGGGCAGGAGGCAGAGATTGAGGTGGAGGCATTGCCTAGAAGGCGGCGTTTTTTGCCCAAGAGTTGGGTGTTCTGGAAGCGAAAGGGACACCAAGAGCAGCCTTCTGACTCGCAGGTGAACGCTGTGTCTCTTATTCTGGTACTTGTAACATTCAATGAGCTTTTGTGGCCTCCAGCCAGTGAATTCTACCTTGTCCTTTTGTGCGCTCAGGAAGCTTCTAGGGAAGGAGCATCAACAGCTGAGTGGGACCGAGTGCTCTACCAACGTCGCTCACATGCTCTCTTCATAGCCGTCTATAGAGTACCTTCAGCCAGTGCAAGTGTTTTCACATCGAAACCTAGTGCCGCACAAGCATAGTACGTCTTAAAGTTTTCCGTATCTTCATGTGGATATGTTCTTGGTGCGCTGCAGGCCCTCAGAAGTCAGACTTTGTTCTCTGATTTGGACTTTTTTCTCTGATATTTCAGAATTTTTTTTCTTGTGTACTCTGATAAAATCAGACTTTTTTGGGCCTCAACTCTGTAATTTTCAGACTTTTTTAAAGGCTAACTCTGAGTTCAGAGTTTTCTGAGAGTGTACTCTGATAATTCAGAGTACAAACGCGTCCTTGACTGGTGATTCGGACTTTGGGTCACAGCAGATTCGGACTAACACTGCAAATCCGAGTCTTACAGCACTAGATTTTCGCCCAATCATAGGAAAATCTCTCTCACACAACAGATTTGCGCTGTCAGAGTACAACAATCTTCGCCCAATCACAACAAAATCGCCCTGACATTGCAAATTCGCCCTGACACATATATTTGCCCTGTCAAAGCATGTTTCGATAGCAGATGAATGAAACATTGAATACAGTTCCGATGAAACATTGAATACATTGATTTGAATGATCAGACTTTTGTTTCAAACACTCTGAAATTTCAGCCTTTTTTCTATACCAAGTCTGAGATTTTCAGACTAAAACTGTGTACTAGTTGTTACGAATAGTAATATTCGATATTACTAAGCACTCCTCACCGTAGCAAGGCACGCACAATATCGGGAACGAACGCAAGCGTCAGACGGTTGGAATTGAGTCAAAGAGTCGGACGGTTACAGCACATCTGAACCGTCGGAAGCAAACGGCATCGAACAACTACAAGGAGGATGGTTTTGGCGGGAACAGTTTCGAAACTGTACGCGCGCCGAACGGTTGGGATGCATTTGAATAAGGGAATGTACCCCTTAGAGTACATGGCTAGTTAGGACGTTTCGAATTCCCTTGTACTCATACATATATCGCTGTATTTGCATGTTTTTATTATCTCAAGCATTTTACATTCACTCTGCTATTGAGGTCAAAAGGGCCCACCAACACTACCCACTGCGTGCGAACCTACCAGAGTAGATCCTGGGTTACGATCAACTTTCTGATCGCAACATGGTATGAGAGCGACTCTGGAATCCTTCGCACCGTCACTACCGAAAATTACGACATCTGAAAAGTGGCGACCGGCACACGATCACGCACGAGGATGGCCGGAGGATCTGGTGGTCAGACTAATCTGACGGCTAAAGCACAACCCAACCCAGCTGCAACAAGCGGGAACACGACGACAATCAACTCCGAAGTTCTCGCACAACTACTTCAGCGACTCACCATCTTGGAGCAAGGACTTCAAACATTGCGGAATGGCGATGCGGGAACTTCCTCGCAACCCTCTCAACCGGCCCCGACCGGCCAAAACACCGCTCCGCAAACATTCTCCCTCGACACCAATGGCTCAACCCCCAAGACTCCCCGTCCCAGTGAAGAGGCAATTCTCTCTGCTCAATCAAGGTTTCTCAGCATATCAAAAATAAAGACTAGTACCTGTTTTGACGGGAGAGACTTCTATACCTGGAGCTTCGAATTGGAGCTCTTGCTGCAGAACGCCCAAATCTTCCATTACTTCCACGGGAGCTACGCGGAGCCTGCTGAGGACACCGACGACGCCAAAACGAGGTACTACAACGAATCGTTGATGGCGTACGGAGTGCTCCTACGAAATATGTCGGCGGCGGAGCAGCTCAACATTCGTTCGTACAAAACAACAGCTGCTCCAGCCCTCAACGCCTGGCGACATTTGACGGGCGTGTATCAGCCCAAGGACTCCGTGTCCTCGAGCCGACTACTCCAGGAACTACTGGAAACCAAGATGACCTCAGGGGAGAAGGTCAACAACTATCTTAATCGCTGTCGGAGCCTTCGCGATCAAATCGTGAAGTTGGGAAGCACGATATCGGAAGAAATCTTCGTCAACATCGTGCTTCAAGGGCTCGGCCCAGAGTGGCGGCCCTGCAAGGCGCTTCTCCGATAGCAGGGGGTCATCTCGGAGGCCGCCCTTTGCGCCGCCCTTCTCGTCGAACAAAGGGATATGGACCAGCAGCGACCAGCGCCACGACGAGAACGCGAACGACTCGCCTTCTACGCCGACAACAACGAAGAGCGACGACCGAGGCGCCTCTACTGCAAAAATTGCAGAAATTTCGGGCACCTGGCGGATCGATGCAAATTCCGATCTTGCCCTCGCCAGTCCAATCCGAACACTTGGACCGGCCGACAAGACGCACGAGGCGACGTGCGTCCAGCCCAGGGACAACAATTCCCACCTGCGCGCAATCTAAACCCAGCGGTTCAGCACCAGCAGCAGCAGTCGCCATCGACTGCACCAATCCGCAATGTCATGAGCAACATGACCATGACAAGTGAGTCGCGTCGTCGCCGCGTGCGTTCACCCTCTCCCGAGCCAGCACCACACCCCATCGGCGCGTATACCAACAACAACCCCTTCACCTCGCGCCGCGACTACACCGACGACGACGACCAAGACTGGAACCTCCCAGTCCCGCTGCTCGAAAGTCCCCCGCACGTTCCTGATATGCGGTTGGCGCCACTTGATTGGCTCACGCGCGAACGATTTCTTAAGTTCGACACCCCGCACATCGTCACGCCGCGACTGGCGCTGCTCGCACGTGACGACAACAAGCGCTACAACACCTGGTACTTGGACAGTTGCTGCGGCCAGCATATGGTGGGCTCCGAGCGTTACATATCCAACGCCGTCCCCACTCCTACCGTCACCTACGTCACCGTGGCGAACAATACACGCCTGCGTGCAAGCGCGCAAGGTATCGTCGTGCTCAAGGCACGCGGAAGCCGCACTCACATCACACTCAACGATGTGTTGATCGTCCAGAACCTGCGCTTCAACCTGCTGTCCGCCGCACAGCTCATGGACTGCGGTGTCGACCTCAGCACGGACCACGCGACGCGTGACATCCTGCTGCACTACAAAGCTCGCAACTTCCCCCGCAGGCAGATCGGACGAGCGCGCTTCGAAAATGGAGTATACGTCCTAGACGTTGACATCCCCGACTGCAGCGGCGACTCGCACGAACTAATCGATCTCGTGCCACTGCGCTTCGAGCACATCCACCGCAAGGACTGGAAGCACCCTGACGGCAGACCGTGGGTTCCGCACCATCCCCACCCACGCGAAACGGCACTTCACAATCCCGATCCGGACGGGATATGCAGGGATTGTCACACACCGACGACTTCAACGAACGCGATCGCCGGCCGGGGACTCGCCGCCATCGCTGAAGTAGAGCATCACATGCCCTCAAGGGAAGGGATGTCACAGCTCGAGCTCGAAGTCACCACCCACGGCGTCTTCGGCACGCCAGAACACCCCCTGATCGGTCCCCCCTCGCAACACCTTCACGGGATGCTACGCGGAACTGGCGTCGGCACCTTCGATGCCCGTGGCGAGCCGCGACCCTACACCTACGAAAAATTCTTGGAGACCTACCCTCATCAACGCGATTCGACGAAGAAGCTCACCGCGGAACACGAGGAAAACTTGGCGCGTCGCGAAGCTGAAGAACTTCGCCAACTAAGCCTCGCAGAGGCACGCGGGACCCTTGCCTGCGCTGCATGGGGAGGTGAAGCGGCAGAAAAATGACCCCAACGAAGAAGAATGGGGAAGCGCTGGCGAATGGGGAACAAGCGACGCTAGCGGCTGGGGAGACAGCGCCGGCACCTGGGCCAACGCGGGCGGCGGATGGGGCGCCGCAACTGGCGCCGACAACAGCACCTGGGGTACTCTCCGCGAAGAACGAAAGGGGGGAGAAGAAGTTGAGGAAAGTCAGACCGCGCCACGTTCCACTTGCACTACCCCGTCCTGACAACCCCCCGCGCCGCGATCCATGGGACACTATCACCTGGGGCAACGAACCGTCAACACCACGTCGCACCGCCTACGGACCTGCCCCTGAACTCCGTGAACCCACCTTCGTCCCTGGAACTATCCCTGGGACTAACATCCCACTCTCCGAAATTAGGGATAGAGAATTCCTGGCGCTGATGCTGACCACCGCAATAGAAGAAGAAACAGAAGAAGCAGCAACGGAACCAATCCCCGCACCTGACGAAGACCCTGAGGAAGCACGCACACGCTACATGCGCACCTCCGGCTTCCGCGGTGATGACACACTCTGGCACCAGCGGCTCGTCCACCCTTCCCGCGCAACGCTGAAAAACTGCATCGACGCAGGCGTCTTCGCTCCTGGCGCACTTCTGCGCCCCGATGGTTCCGAAGTAAGCGGCACGACACACCCGCGCAGCTGCACCGTCTGCCCTGAAGCTACGCTGAGCCACCAACCGTTCCCGCTACTCGAACCTGGAACGAATCGCTACCCCAAGCTGCACTAGGTGTACAGCGATTTCCTGAACGTGGGGCATTGCGGAGTCGAAGACGAGATGTACACACTCACCTTCATCGATGCCCGCACGCGCTACGTGTGGGTCGTGAATGTGGAGACGCGCGATAGAGCATACGAAGTATTTCGGCTTTGGCTGGCGCATGCGGAGAGGCAATCCGGGAAGAAACTCAAGATCTGGCAATCTGACGGCGCGGCAGAATTCAGGAGCAACCAGATGCAGAACTTCCTGACACAAAAGGGGATCGAGCACCACATCTCTCTCCCCTACGCGCACCAACAGCAGGGTGTAGCCGAACGGACCAATTGCACACTGATGACGAAGGTGCGCGCGCTAATGAAGCAGTCGAAATTGCCGCCGATCTACTGGACCTACGCGATGCATCACGCCGTGCGGGTGCACAACCTACTTTCAACCACCGCAATCACTGGCAACCTGTCCCCGCACGTCAAATGGAGCGGAACCAAGGGAGACACCTCCATGCTCCGAGTATGGGGGTGCATGGTCCAATACCGCCCGCCGACCTCAACCATCGGCAAATTCGCCAGCCGCGCACGCTGGGGAATCCACCTCGGCATCAGTCACGAGCACAAAGCGTGGATCGTGCTTGACC